AGTTATCTATCAGATATAATCGTAAGTAATTAGTAATCTCATTTCCTCCACACTTCCTTAACTTCTCTGTTTCTCAGTTTAACTGAATTCTGGTGCCTGCACTACATTTGTTTTTACAATGTAATCTCATTTTTTACAATACAATCTCATTCTATTGATTGATGTTTAGGTGGATCGTATTATCTTTTTAATTATACTTTTATACGTGTGTCAGAGGTCAGCTTGGAGAAGTTGGTTCTTTCCTTCTGTCTTGAGAATCCTGGGATGGAATTAAAATCCTCATACTTGGTGGCTGGCACCTTTACCCACTTAGCTGTCATACTGGCCCTTGATTCCATTCTTTCTACTCTTACACATCATGCTATATTAAGAAATCTAATTTCCATGCCATTTTATAGTTGTAGAATTTTTCAAGGATATATATTTATTTTAATATAGTGGAATTGAGTTGAAAAAACTGTATATCTTCTTGGTTTTATATGTTATCTTTTAGTGATACAATTATTAGTTTATAGTCTATAATCTAAATCCTTTCATTTTCTTTATGGATTGTTTCCAGTTTGTGGTGCCAGTCTTGAAGTTTTGTAGCCCTATTGATTCTTCAAAATTGTTTTAAATATATTTATTTAGTTATAAATTAGTTAATGAAATTTTATGTGCTTTACCATTCGGGTTTTGAGATATGATATGTCTCACATCTTTCGCCACTTTTATTGTTTTATTTAGGTTTTAGGAACTTCACATATCCTATTTAATAATCTGTTGTACATTTTGCACACATTCTTCAATTTCTAGCTTGGTAAGGCTTGTCTATGATGTCTTTTATTAGTTTTATGGTTTTTAATTTTACGTCTTGTTTAGAACATTCTTCTTTATCTTCAAGATCATAAAGATACTCTATTTTCTTGTTTGTTTCTTCTGCTTATTTGATTCTTTAAATAGTTTTAATCATATAGGTGGAAGTTTTCTATTCTAATGATTTTCATGTTTACCCAATAGTATTTTGATTTGAAAACGATTGTAACAAATCTGATTATTCTTTTTATTCATTTTTTTGTGTATGACTGTTTTTCCTGCATGTATGATTGTTCACCATGTATATGCTGGTACCTGTGGAAATAAAATAAAAGGGTATCACACATGTACGCATACAATAAGTAAATAATTTTTTATAAAAATTTAATTTGTTGATTGTAAGGAATATAAAAATGATTCATTTTTAAGCTTATGTATTTTTCTCTTTTCTTTATTATTATCATTTATTACAATTTATTCAATATTTATCCCTGCTGTGGCCTCCTCCCTCCTCTCCTCACAATCCCTCTCTCCCTCCCTCTCTGCCCCTCCCCTAGTCCACTGATAAGGGGAGGTCCTCCTCTCCTTGTATTTGACCCTGGCTTATCAGGTCTCATCAGGACTGGTTGCATTGTCTTCCTCTGTGGCCTGGCAAGGCTACACCACTCCAGGGGGAGGTGATCAGAGAGCCTGCCACTGAGTTCAGGCCAGAGAAAGTCCCTTTTCCCCTTACTAGGAAACCCACTTGGAGACTGAGTCTGTGGGCAACATCTGAGCCGGAGTTTTAGGTCCTTTCCAGCTTATGTATGCCAATATTCCTAGTAATTCATATATATATATATATATATAGTAGTTTTCTATATAGTTAGACTGAAGTATAATAATTTGTTTTTTCTTACTTTTTAAATTTTTATTTCTCTTAATTTGCTTTACTGTGCTAATTAGGAACTTGTATTAAACAAAGTTGGATTTACCATGGAGTGTTGTTGGATAACTGACAAGGAAGTTCCTTTTTAGCCCTAGTACAGTAAGAATTATAGTTCCTAAGTGTTTTTGGTGGACTATTATCCATGAAAATTATTACATGCCTTTCCTCTTTAAGGAAGATTTATATTAACATAGACCCTTTGATTAACAGATTTCATTGTGTTTATAGTTTATTTTTTAATCCTGTCCACTTCAAAGGACCGAAGGAGCATGGAGGCCCCCTGTTTCAGTGCCACACAGGGGGAGGGGAGACGGAGCGTCTTTACTGCCCTTCACCTGTAGAGGGTAAAGGCTGCAAGACCGCGGAGACAAATACAAATGCCGACTCTACCTCGACCCTGGTTCTCCTTTTCCTTCCCTAGCGTTTTTTATTTGGATGTATATTTTTACTTTTTCAGGGGGAGGGTGTGCAGGAAGTTGTCTGGAGAACGCTTTTGGGAATGAATGGGGAACATCTTCTTCAAACTTATTCATGAAAGGGAAAGAAGGAATAAAATATATATGTAGGCTTATGAAATATTAGGAGTCTGCTGGCATCGTGATACATGCCTGTAACATCAGCTGGGGATGGAACAGTTGATCTGGTTGATATAGCACAATGGGTAGAGCACTTGCCCGGAGCACAGAGTCCTAGGTTCAACCCATAGTACCACATAAACCAGACATGGAGGTACAGGCCTATAATCTAAGTGCTTGGGAAGTGGAAATAAGATGATCAGAGAAGTCCAGGGTTATACATATACATACGTACATACATACATACATACATACATACATACATACATACATACATAC